TCGCTGTCGCGCGCACGGCACCCGCCGCCTGGTGTCACTTGCATTGGCCAATGCGATTCGGCTTTACGGGAGCTGCAACTCGGGCTTTCGCTGCTCTTGCTTTCGAGACAGCGGGCGCAGGCTGAAACCTTTTGATGGTTTGTTTCACGAGTCGGTTCTGCAAAGGAATAAAATTACTCAGGCAAACATGGGATGGCCTTGCCCGTTTTTAAACTCAGTTTCATCCACTCTTTTGAACACAAATGAGACTCCCCGTGTCTTTCCGGTTAAAGAGTCACCGTTGAAAAGAACACTAGGGAGCATATTAGTGTTCTCGGTCAAGAGCTAAATGGATATTCTGTCCGACCGCGGGGTACCTTCCGGCTGCCATTCTGGCGACACCGGGGGATCTGGAGGCGACTGGAGGCGAGGATTCTGGCGACACCCTGGCCGATCTGGAGGCCCTTAGAGGGACGCATCATATCACATTGGCTCCTTCAAGGCGCCGGTGGCCTTCTGACCCGGGAAGACCGCAGTTGACCCCGGATCAACGCAGGAACCGCCATTGACGCAACAGCAGTCCTCATCGCCACAGGTGGTCCGATAATTGGCACAAAGGCCCAGTTCGGCTTGCCGGGCTCAAGCTAGAGTTGGGTTAGGGGCTCACCATTCAGTACTTGACTGTACTTGACCCACCAGGACCTTGACTGTCACATATTTCGTCCACCGCCTCATTGTAAATCATCTTGGCAAGTTGCCATGTTCCCTTTCATTGTCAGAGGGCCCCGACCAACGTAAGAGGCCTCTGTCATTCGGGGCCCCGTCGCCGCCACAATAGAGCACGTCTTTTTCTCACCGACTCGAGGCCCCTCGTTGACGCGGAATACCTTGTTCGGTACTGCGGACCCGTGAACGATATGGGAGCCCGCATTGTTACAGGTGACGCGACTAGTGTAAATCGCGGGCCTCGCCGTGTCCCCTCTGGAGAAATAGGGCCCCAGAGCTCAGACCGGCACGGAACCGACCGTTCGGTGTTGGTGACCTCTGGCCGAGACAGAGGAATGCTCTCTCTCAGAGGTCCTCAATCGATGCAGGAAGCTCTGTAACTGACATTTGAGATCACGGCCCTACGGGCTGGAGCCCTTAATGGGACATGCAGTCAGCGCTTTGGGTCGTTAAGTTTTATTATGGGGCCGCTGATCTTTGGTCTCAGGAGACCCTTTAGCCCATTTTCGGGCGCCTTCAAACACCGCTCCTGGCCGACTCAGGCCACTTGCCGCCACAAAATCCCTGTTACGCACTGTGGCCACCGACCAACACAGGAGCCCCTCATAGTGCCAGGGACACCGAACATTGCAAATCGCAGGCCCGGTCTCGTTCGTGCTTGGGAACTGGGCTTCAACGGCTCAGACGGACATGGAGCCGACTGTTCGGCTTCGTGTCGATGCCCTGAATAATAGGGATAGAACACTCTAGTAAGAGGGACCTAATAGAAGTTCTCTGATTGACATTTCAGGCCATGGCACCACGGGCGGTGGAGTCGGGATGGAGTCCAGTGGGATCCTCCATCTTTGGTGCCGAGGGTCCCATTGAGGGCCCCATCTTTGGTGCCGAGGGCCCTATTGAGGGCCCCATCTTTGGTGCCCATCTTCGGAACTCCTAAAACAAAGTCCGTGAACGACTAGGGGCCACTAGTCGAGGCATGACCACCAGTTGTGCCCTTCGGGTCTCTGACCAACAAAACGGCCCCAACAACTGTTTTAGGGCCCCAGACCAATGCAACCTTTCGTTCCCGGTCTCACTCCTGCCTGGGAAATGGGCCCCCCAAGGTTCAGACTGACATGGAGCCATCTGTTCATTGTTCGTTTGTCCCAGGCCAAGTTCCACACCCGCATTGTCTCAGGTAAACGTTTCAAGAGGACTTCTGGTTGATATTTCAGGTCACGACCCTAAAGGCCTGATTCTTGACCTTCAACCAATCCTTTGGGCCGTTAGGCCCTCCAACCCGGCCTTTTGATACTCTGTTTCGTCGGGCCGACCGGACCTTTCTCCGGACCTCATCAAGTGCCGCCCTTGGTCGCCTCGAAGCCCGTTGGGTGCACAGGACCCGTCGTTTAGGCGCTGTGGTCTATCTAGATATAGGGGCACTGACCAGTGTAAATCCATGTTCCAGCCTTGTACCTGATTGAGAAATGGGCCCTCAGATCCATACCGACCCATAGCAGACTGTGTGGCATTGGTGGTGCCTGACCGACGTATGGATCCATATCGACTCAGGGTATGCCTGATCGCTGTAAAGGGCCTAGAACTATCATTAAAGGATCCGTCCCCGCAGGCCGGGGCCCCTGAATAACACTCTGACCATCCCTTCGTGCTCCTAGACTCTCTAGTCGAGCCCTTGACCATAGGACCCAAGGGTTCCTCCAGACTATTCGGATGTCCTCGAACACTACATGTGGCCGACTTGGGACCCTTTGCCAGCATATGACCCCCCGTTAGGTGTTGTGAGGCCCCGAACAATGTAAATCGCTGGCTCCGGATTTGTCCACGCTTGTGAAATGGGCCCCCAGGTCCATGCCGCGATGGAGCCGACTGTGCGTTACTGATGGTGTCTGAACGACATAGACATACGCGCTTATTGACTTAGGGCCCCATATCAGCGCACAGGACCGTTTGGCTGGCATTGGAGTGCCCGGCCCTGCTGGCCGGGGCACCGGAATACGAGCTCTGGCCGGCCTTTCGGGCCGTTAGTCGTAGGTTCCAAGGGGCCTTCCGGACCGCTCGTAACCTAAGACGAAGGTCACGTGTCCCCTGTGCCCCCTCCCTCACCTCTGCCTTCGCTATTTTTTCAGAACCAGAGGCAGAAGCCGGTTCTAAAGCTTCCGAATGCTCCGAAATCATCGAAATATTAGTAGCAGAAAACACTGCAGCTTTGCTACCGATGTGTTCTGCATGTTGGTGTGAAAACATGGGTCCCCTCCCGCTTGGTGATAGCTCATTCTGGGCCTAAGATCGACCCATCCCCATTCTCATTTTGGGTCCAAGATGGGGTTGTTCACTCCCAAGTTTTTGCAGGGCTGGGAGAGGTTCTCAGGAATCAGAGCAAAAAACGATCCTTTCCGGACTTGGCCTGCGCCTTTTAAGGGCATAAACAATGATACTTCCCAATTGCGAGTCTCCAACCGGCGAACCTAGGTCACTAGTCGGCGAATCCCGGGCCTCCAGCCGGTCACTTCCTGATTACCAGCCGCGGAGCCCTGGGTCTGCAGCCAGCGAGCTCTAGGTCTGAAGTCACGAGACGCGGACCTCCAGGCGACTCGTCTCGGGTCCCCAGCCGGCGTATCTCAGGTCTAACATTTGCCAGCGAGTTCGTAAGCACCTGGTGAGCCGTTTTATCATGCACACCATGCACCTCGGGTTATCATGCACTGTTTGCGGGAATTTCTTTGAGTGGCTTAAGATGGACCTGGAGTTGACCTCACGGGTGATTAAGTTCCTGTACTTGAAGGGTGGTATTGTTTCACATGGGGTGTTGCTTGTAAGTTTCACGTGGTATAACTCATGGTTCACTGGCAGACCTTTGCTTGATTCAAGATTCCATATAAATCGATTAACGATCGTTGATCAAACTATTTCCGGACGAAGTAATAATTTAATCAATCCTCTTTTGCAAAGAAATCCAGTACGCATCGTGAATCGAACCGTTGGCTTTTCAGCCCAGACATAATCCGTAGTCACGCGGTGCTCTGAAGGTAACCTGAATTTGTTTCTGTTTAAAAAGCTCGTCGGAGGAGCGAGGACGTTGCTGTCAACTCACGGTCACGATGAAATGGCATCGAGTTAAATCGTGTTAAGACATCATTGTGTAGTATCTCGCTGTAGTTCTTCACATCAAAATGGAGCTGAGAATTACTATATAAACTAGCCTCCACCACGCACTGTTCAGTAGTAGAACACGCGGTCTCTGTCCAAGGCCATCACTGCACTCTCCCAGTCAATTTTCCAAGCCGCCAGGTCTACACCGTAGTTGCAGAGTGCAGCGGCGTGCGGTCAGCCGGGTCAAACATTTATTGTTTTCACGAGTATAAAGAGGGAGCGGGGCCCATGTGGAGGCATCAGTGTCTCTCCTTCAGTGTTCACAGAGCTACCCAGACGAGAACCATGAAGCTGTGTCTGTTTCTGGCTGCGCTGGTAGCTCTGTCGGCCGCCGCCGAAGACAAGGAGGCTGACCAAGAGACCCAAGCCACCGGTCCTATTCTGCTTTTGAGGATACGGCAGGTACTTTGCTGCTAGTTCTTCTCAACGTTCCCCTTGCCTTGAGGCATTCACTTCGCGTATGCCTCTACATTAGATGTGGTTCAAAGTCGTATCTGCTCCTTCCCGCAAACATTATCACACGGCTACCTGATTCAGTGCCAAATCTGAAATTCGCGAAAGATCGGATAAACAGGAGTAGGACCATGAAATGTCTTTGCGGCTATCGAAATAGCTGTAATTTCTCACTTTGCGGACGATGCAGAAACATAAACGCTTCCAGGGCAAATCTGATGGCTTATTTGATTCGAATGAGCCGTAATGAGAATCAGGTCTACCTGATAGGTTTGATGAAAAATGATGAGCATACCATACTACTCTACGTGTTTTTCAAACCAAGATGTCTGTTACATGAGGCAGAACGAGTTCAAATACCAGCTAAATGAAGGCTGGGTGGAAAGTAGCAAAATAACAACACTAGCGTGGAAAAAGCCATTCTTTATGAAGACCAGCCCACTCGTCTGTTGTTGGTGTTCACGGATCATGATGTCTAAATTGTTTGTCAAAATAGGGCGCAGGGAAATGTGTTGGACAGTATCGGCAAGGTTCTGTGAAATATTTAATACTCTGGCTAGTGTGCTGTGTAGAATGCCCATAACTGTTTGGCCCATCTGCCCACCAGTCGTGTTAGCCATGTAACCAGACGGCTTTGCCCTGAGCAGTGTAACATTATCGCCACGGAACGAACGCACGAATACTTCCCTCAGGAACAGCTTCCGCAGAGGCCGCAGCTTCGGCGGCTACGGCAACCGGGCCCTCGGCTACAACGGCAACTACGGCCAGAACTACAACAGCCGCTCCGGACGCGGTTACGGGCGCAGCTTGAACGGCTACGGAAACTACGGACTGGGATATAACGGATACGGTGGCTACTACGGCAGCAGCGGCCTCGGCGGCTATGGTGGATACGGCCGTTCGTCAGCAGCCTACGGAGGGTACGGGCGTCGCTTCGGTGCTTACGATGGCTACAATGGCCGCCTCGGGGCCTACGAAGGCTACGGCAGGCGGCTCTTCTCCCTACAGCCGATACGGCGGACGCAACGGAGCGTATGACGGGTATTATTGAAGAATCTGCCCACGGCAACGGCCTGAAGCCGGTGTGTTGACTATGCACAAGTGGTGTTCCCGGGACCATTATGGCTGTCTCGATCCTGCGAATATCAATGATGTGCCACGTCTGAACTCTCCTGTTTGATCTCGCAGTGTCTGCTGTGAGACACAAATCGTCACACCTCCGGAATTTTCTCTACGCTTTCTTCATTGTGAGTTTGTGTGTTCTTCGCTTGCGATTCTTTTGAAACACCGAAGCGCAGGTTACCAAAATACACAGTTTTGCCAGGAATGCCTCGTTTTCTTGACTACTAAAGACGAACGTCGCCTGTACGGCACTGTGTATTGTATGTTATTTACAAGCGTAGCAATTGAACTAAGGAGATGGGGAGGAGGTGGGAGCCATGGTAGACCCCATGTTAATTCGCTAATATTAAGATAAACGAAGACAAATGGAAATGTAAAAACTAGTGCCACACAAGGCACGTACTGAACCAGCGCTCCAGAACTGATTAGCTAACGCCTGCGTCTGACGCCAGAGCCGCCGGCTGCAGGTGTCTCTGTCGCTGAACATTCCAGACAGCATACAGTCCGTCGGATGGCCGAGGAAGTAGGTGATTGGGTGTCAACACCCCACACTACACGGCAGCAGACGACTTCCGCTGGTGATTGGCTCTTCTAATTTCGATTCCATTTTTTCCCTTTTCTATTTTGGTTATTTTGTTTTTATATTTCCTATTTTTATCTTTTATTTTCTAATATATTTCTAAATTCTTCTAAATTCGATAATACATTCCGCTCCTCTAATCAGCGCAGCCATCTTCTGGCGGGAGGTTCTCGTGTTGCAGTTGGCGAACGATGACAGCTCGTTTCTCGGACCTCAAGCGCGGGCAAGGGACCGCAATCCTTTTTGGAGATTCAGGGCTTTTCTAGGATATTTTGAAACACATAAACAAGCTCGCCTTGCAATTATATTAAAAGCCGGAGTTCTGTTATCTAGGCTTTAATGTAAATGCAACTCTACGCTTAAGATTCGCACAAACATTTACAAATCAGAGCGTATTGCATTTGAACTGAATGTCGGAAGTTTCTACCTCTAATATTGATTTGAATATAATTTCATCCGTCTTTTTTGGTCGCGACCGGGCCACTCAGCAGAAACAAGGCCCCTCTTGCGACTGTGCCAAGGGATGCCCTGCTGTTGTAACAACACTCATCGGCCGTCCATTCCATGTCCTGGGTATGCAGCTGTGTTTAAGTTGAGTGGTGTGGAAATACCCAACTATGTTAATGCATGTTATCCTTTTTTGAGCCACGCGCCGGACAGCTGGAGCCGACTAAAGTAAATACATTGTGCTTGCTCGGCGGCTATGGTGGATACGGCCGCTCGTCAGAGCCTACGGAGGGTACGGACGTCGCTCAGGAGCCTACCAGGGCTACAATCGGCGCCTCGGAGTTTACGGCGGCTACGGCAGGCGTTCTTCTCCCTACAAGCCGGTACGGCGGACGTAATGAATTATGCAACGGATACTACTTGAACGCTTCGTAGTCGGCAACATCCTGCAGTCGCGTTGTTGACAACCGCACATGTGTTCCCATGGCCATTTTTGCTGTTTCCATCCTGCAACACCAAGGATCTGTCACGGTTGGCCCCACCTGAACTGATGTTGCATCGTCTGCGGTCAGAGGAAAACTGTCACTTCTCCTGACTATTCCCTAAGCTTGTTTTAATTGTCGAAGCTGTATGTTCTTTAACTCTCGTTCGTTTGGCACATCAAGACAAAGAAAACCAGTGTTTTAAAAACAGTGTTTTGATGGAGATCTACGTTCTCCTTACTTATAGCCACAGACATTAATCAATTCATCGCACTGCTTATTGTCTTTTACTTTTTTATTTTTACCATAGGCGTAGAAGCAGAGAGACGGACATCTAACCTGCGGATGCCATTTAACGCCACTATCCGAGAATGATGACAGTTACCCTTAAGCTTAAGTAAATTCTTTCCATAAAAAGACATGAAAAATAGCCAACAAGCTTGGCATTGTCACCCTCAACCCCTGATCCGTATCATTGGTTATATTACAAGTGACTCGACAACAGCTGTCTTTTAGGCTGCTCAGTTTCATTTCCACGGGCATTTATCTGTTGGGTATTGGGTACGGTCACACTGATAAAATTTTCCAAATCCCGCAAAACCCGTCACTTAAAACAGTAACAAGCATATGCAACGCGCAATAAACGCCACACGTTACTGAAGGGGATCAGCCCAATCCCCGCATGACCGTGCATAGATTTGCCGCG